CACGCCCCCCTGTCTTCAGCCCCGTATTCCTGCATGAGGTTTCCCCAGTGTTTCCCCACTCCGTCGGACTGTGTCGTCCGCATAGGGTCCGGAAAGAACTGTTCGTTACACCAACTTCTGTGTTATAGCATGATGCAGGAACATGTGTGTTTTTATTCCCTCATGGTTTACCAAGTTGGGTAGCGTGGTTGCGCAGTGGTTAGCATTGCTGCATGGGTTCAATTGCAGACCTGGAGTACTATCTGTGTGGAGTTTATGTGTTCTCCCCGTGTTAACATGGCTTTCCTCTGGTTGCTCCAGTTTCCTCCCATAGTCCAAAACCATACTGGTACATTAATTGGCTTCTGGTTAAATTGGACCTAGTGTGATTGTGAGTGTGAGTATCTATTGTTTGGGTCTGTCTGCCCCATGATGGACTGGCTTCCCATTTGGGGTGTATCCTGCCCTGCACCCAGTGCTTCTCTGGTTAGGGTCTTTCTCCCCAGCAAGAAGCAGTTAGAACAATGATGGATGGACATTTACTATGGTGCATCTTCCTCAGACAGCAAAACTGTCTGCAGGGTCAGTGCTATTACCTCATCAGACTAGGGTAAAGGCACATCCTAGACAGCCTTTTCTTTAAAAGGTGTTACATCAAACTACAAGATGTCATTTTTTTCATCGCTAATAAATAAACGGCAACTTGTCACAAGTGGTGTTTACTAAAGCTCACCTGAACATCTCTAGTAGCAACACAACATCACTGCAAATCTGACGTTATCTATTCTTGGGGGTGCATTTGCCTCAGCTCACTCCATGTCCAAAAATATAAAATGTGATATCAGTTTTTAATGGTTCATTTACAGCTGCATTTAGTGTACCATTTTACATTTTACAGAGCACACATTAGCAAGGCCCTGTGAAATTAGTGAATGAATCTAAATGACTCAGCTTCCTGGTTTTTCAAGACATTCCAATGAAGCACACCATAAAGTATTTTGAGATAATCTATGAGACAATTATAAAATATCCAGTTAATTTCCTCTAATGTTGACAGACAATTACTATTTTCATTCTACAAATTAAGCTTTTAAATTTAAAAACTTTATTCAAAATACAATTAACTTAAGAAGCAGAACAAATAAAAGCAGCATGAAGTATAGCATTTTTAATTTGACAAAAGCTATGCATTAGGTTTCTCTTCAAAGAACAGAATACGCCAAAGCCAATTAAATTCCTGAAATAAAAATGATATTTATTATGTTTTTAAAAAGCAGCTTGTTAAAAGTCCACTCTTATTCCATGTGTCCACATACTGTAGGAACAAGGGTAAAAGTAGTCCCTTAAAGGGAATTCTAAACAGTCATTTTAATTTGAAGCTTCTCTCCTCCTGACAAGGACATTTTAAGTTAATGGTGAATGCAATGAGTTTGCATTTACACTGCAACTAATAAAACAGCAAAAAGTCTAATGACCAATTAGATAAGTTAATGCTGCTATGAGCATTACAAAGAGCTTGAAGTGCCGTTTCACATGGCTCTCACAAAATTTTAAAGGTTGTTATTTCTATCAAAAGATTAACTTGCCCAAAGCAGAAATAGGACAAAGCTCTTCATCCCAACTGGCGATGCAGCAGAGGAAGGCAACCATGGTCTTCAAGTGCAGCATTTGTTTCTAGTATTTCTCTCAATCAGGTGCCTCTTAACCAGCAGGAACCCAGGAACCGAGCACTCAAACACCAGGTTTTCTACTCCTACTCTAGATCATTTCTAAACATTTTAAATTTTGAAAAGGTCTACCCCAGAGCTCTTCTGGAGAGCCCCATTCCATTCCATCTTAGTATATATATATTACCTGTTTCTGAAGACCTGTAACCTAATATATTAAGCAAGTCGTCTGTTTCATTAAGAAAACTCTCATCCCTGAAGATGAAAGAGTAGATTTGTGGTCCCCCGTGATCTCTAAATTGCTTAACTGATCACAGGGAAATTCTTCCAAATCTTTAGTAACTATTGATATACATGTAATAGTCAGGCTGTGTAACTGGGACATTCCAGAACCAGTGCTTGAGACACCTGGCTGCCATTTGACAAAATGGGCCAAGGCATATCTCTACTATACTACATATGCAACAAACAACACAAAGAGTGAATTAGGTACAAGAAAAAAAAGTTAAATTTTTGTGTAAGAGTGTAAGTATTATATACCAATATACAATACATGTGCTTTTTAAAAAGTTTAGTCTTTTGAAGCCATATCATTTGTAATTATTTTATCAAAAACAATGGAAAGGCCATGGAAATTTCTGATTGATAAACTTCTGTGTTTTATTACAGTGCTACACTTTACAAATGTAGAAAAATAAACAAAAGTATTTTGTGACTACTGACCTGTTTAGGTCAAAGCTTTTAAAGGGGGCTGAGTCCTAGAACTTGAAGTTCGCTGCTCTGAAACATTACAGCTTACCTAAACCAGGGCTTTCCATCATGGGCCTAGTGACACCGGTGTGTGTATTTTCATTCCAACTTTATCTCATCTTTATTAGACTTTTTAGTTGTTTCCTCAATTATTTTCAAGCTATTCATTTTAATGATAAAACAAAACCTCTGCTATTTCCAGAATTCCATACAGTTCAAAAGATTTAATTAGTATTTTGTTAAATGTCTTAACAATGTATTCTTATTCTTAGTCTCAAAGAGAAGTTAGTGTAGTTTGGTAATGCTGTACTCATGTACACAATCACTGGTGAATAAACAATTACATAATCCAGGACTTTCCTGATGACGTGCAGAAAATGGTTTCATATATTCTCTTGTGGTTGTGAAAGTATTAAATTCCAGTAAGAAATCCAGAACAGCGTTGATGGAAAATTAAGCCCTTGTCCTGATGGCCGTAATCCATCAATAATCCATTGATAGTTTTACACTATCAAGCCTCTTCTGTAATGAAACCAGAGCATTGGTTTTAGTAGCATGCAATTTTGTTTGCCAAGTTACTCTCAGCATGAAACACTCCCTTTTTATCTGTATCAGCCATCAATCTAGTATTATAAAGATTCCATAGTCTGACAGATGAATTATGCTTGACATAATTGCTGAAATGCATTTTAGTTATTTCTCTGAAAACTATGAAGAACTATGAAGTTTCCATTCTCCTGTCATCTATCAATGCTAAAAACATTAATTCCATCAAAGCATTCATTACAACTCCCAGAAGAGGTTAACTGCATCATCATCATCAATTACATCATTTATTTTGTATTGTTTTCCTCTGAAGCCAGCAAAAATTAAACTTTTTTTTAAATTAGCTCAATTTTAATTTATTTGAAACTGCAACTTTAACAATCTTGAAGCCCCACATAGCCAAGCAATTTATCTTAGTAAGCGCTTGTCTGCTATACCAAGATGTTGACAGATATGAATCCACTATACTTGAATAGTTTTCCTTTGCAGGGAGGGGGTTATTCACATCCATGCCACACAGTTTTATTCTCAACATGAAACATAGTAGTTTACAATGCTAAACTTGTTTTACCATGGGCGCCACATGGTCTCAAACTTCTAGGAATTTAAGAACCTTAAAACATCAGAAACTACTCTTACTTTCCTATCACCCAAAAACTGTATAAAAGACAGAGCAGTGCACCAAAAAGAGAATCCCACAGAACTGCACTTTCATCCCTGCTAGAAATTTTGTTGTCCCCCCCGTGTATTAGCCAGCCTTGTAATCAACAGAAAACACAGACAGTCATTCCTTAAGTTAATTTACATATAGTAGAAATCCTTGCTTGTCATCAGCATGAGTGCTATGGCAATTTTATGGCATCACTCACAGCCTGATAGTCCTGGTTTGTTGGAATGTGAATTCGATATTATGGCATTTTAGCTGAACTGCATCTCTTCTTCCCAGGCAACTGATCACGAGAAGTGCTGCTGGGCTTCTAGCTCTATGCTACTTCAGATCGTCGAAACTGTAGGGGTTCCTAAACAGCCAAACCACTGGACTGACACTCAAGGGAT